GAAGCCGTCTGAGAAAGAAGCCGCCACAATGGCAGCAGCTGCTCAAGTGCCACAGAGAGACAGCAAACGGTGCCCAGAATGCCTGGCTCAGTGGTAGTCACAGAGCACATGCCCGCGTTGACATGGGGTCCTGGGGGCTGGCCTCACTCCCAACCTCAAGCCTCACTTGGTGTGCTGCCACTGGCCCTGGCAGACATAGCCGCCGGTCCCTTTGCCCTGCCCACCCTCTCTGTTCTCTCTCTCTTTTTTTGGGGGGGGGTCCGGTCATGGGGCCTGAACTCTGGGCCTGGGCGCTGTCCCTCAGCTCTTCAGCTCAAGGCTAGTGCTCTATCACTTGAGCCACAGCCCCCTTCCGGCTTTTTTCTTTTTGCTTATGTGGTGCTGAGGAATCGAACCCAGGGCCTCAGGCATGCAAGGCAAGCACTCTACCACTGAGCCACCTTCCCAGCCCCGTCCCCCTTTTTTAAATGTTCTAAAAATAGATGGCTCTATGACAACTTGTTTAGACAGGAAGCAGAGGGAAGCATAGCGCGCTGTGCAGTTTTGATTGCAGCAGTGATTCCGGCTGTGGCTGGTGCAGAGGGAGCATGGTAATGACGGGCTTTCATGCTGCTGAGATGCTAGCCTCCCTGGCCCTGAGGTCACCCCCAGTGCTTCCTGCCAGCTGCTGCACTGGGGGCGGGCCCAGGCCGCCCTCCTTATTTGAAGGAAGCTTAGAGGTGCCTTTATATCTTGTTTAGCAAGTGATCATGTGTAAAGATAAGGAAGATAAGGTTAGGCCCTAGCAGAGGCCCCTTCCTCAGTGGTGAGGCGTGGTAGGAATGCGGACAGCTGCGTGGACTATGGGGCAGACCTGAGGCTGCTTCTGCAAATGTCTTCTCATATGCTCGTGTGATCTCCTGGGAGGGCCTGGTGCATCTGTGTGGCTGGAGACTCAAGGTGTGGCATCAGAGCTTGGCATCAGAGCTGGCGCTGAGCCCAAGAAGCCAGCAGCATTGTGACAGGCACACCACAGACCCCCGTGGAGCCCTGGCCCATTTTCCTGTGGGTGTGTGCATCAGCCTCTGTGGTGTGTACATTTGCGCGTGTGCCTCACGCCCCTAGCGTATGTGAGCACGTGTGTGCCTTAGGTGCCGTGGTGTGTGGGTCCCCACGTGTGCCACGGGTATGATGCACTGAGGTTCTTGTTCTACTCTTCCTCAGAGAGAAAGCAACTCACCGGCTGAAGCGGTTTAAAGTGTGCTTCCCAGTCCTGGTGCACGATCCAGTCCACGGCCGGGGATGACTTCCCGCGCCGGCGGCGGCGTCTGACGGCCTGCTTCTCCTCACCACATCGTGTGGTCTGAGCTAGTCACCCCAGGGCTGAAGTCGAACGTGCACGTGAGTGCACATGTGCTCATGCGTGTGCTTGCCCCACCAGAAGACAACATGTGGATTGAGCCCTTTCAAAGCATCTACAAGCTGTGGCTCTGGGCAGAGAGATGCACAGACAGGGGAGTTAGCCCATCATGGTGCATTTTTAAAGGAACGAAGTCACCCGAGGGAGGACTGATCATCCGTCTGGAAGTATTAGGCTCATTTTTTATCTGTGTCAGGAGGAATATTCTCCTATGGTGGTGGTGGCGGCGGCCCAAGCAACTTTTCCTGGCTGAAGGTAAAGGGAGCTTATAGGACTAGACAGATGCTTTCCTCACTGGGAACAGAATTTCTGAGGGGAACGCACCGTGTACTGCCCCGGCCCCAAGGGCCTTGGCCGATCCCGCTGCAGCTCAGGCCATGGCTCCTGACACACGGGACGCCGCTCCAACACCGCTCCCGCTGCAGCTCAGGCCATGGCTCCTGACACACGGGACACCGCTCCAACACCGCTCCAGCCGTTGGTGCCTACGTGTGAGCCCGGCATAGGTTTTGTCTCAAGTCTGAAATCTCATTCAGTCCTCCATGCATAGTTTTGTCTCATTTCGATGACCGCATCCTCTTGACATTTACTGTGCTCAGAGCAAGAGCCTATCTTCATAAACACTGCTACAGCACAGACGAACCACGGGCCAAACTCAGACAGACTCTGCACTGCCCTCCAAAACATGTCCTAACTCCATGCAGCCCTGCCAGCATGGCCGGCCCCACAGGCTCCCAGCCCTGCTCCACTGTGAATTTATAAGACAGAAGGTGATTGAGATCCAAAGATGGCATCCAAGAACCCCAGATTCACATTCCTCTAGTTGAACTGGGCCAGGGTAATTTTGCATGTTGTGTGTGTGAAGTTCTTCATTCATTCTCCTGCCCTTCCTAGACACTAACTCACAGTTCTGTGTTTTTTTTATGAGGGGAGGGGTCTTAAAGGTAAAATGTACAGGAGGGACATGTGTAAATATGTACAATGCTTATGAAGTCATTGTTTATATGTAAAAAGTGTGTACATAAGAAGGAGAAAGGCTTAATGAATGTAGACTATTTTATGAACCTACTGAGTTTGCACACCTGCCTCACTCCTGAAAGCACACGTTTAGTTGATGTCACTGCTTCCGTCCACTTACAAAGTCAGAACTGGGATTTTGCCAAAAGGAAAAGGCCTCTCCAAGGGTTCTTGCCGGTGTGAGCATCTGAAAAGGTCAGCCCTGGAAAGGGAAGGTGTGTTTTCTCAGTCCCAGGCTGCATGCTTTGTTCCAAACATTGCTAGACTGGATTTCTTCCAGCATTCGGCGGGAAGGTCTAAATGCGAAGGCCCTGCCCCAGTGAAGCGGGAGGAGGAAGCCGCACTGCTGCCAGGAATCAGAACTGTGTCACTGCGGCAGGAGCCCTGCAGCACGTGGCGCTCACAATCAGCACGGCATGAAGCAGACAACCTCAGTGCTTTTGGTCTAAAGTCGACGTTCATGTCAACTGCAGAGTGCGTTGTGTTTGTCCATGGTCTGGGGTTCTAGTTGAAGGCCTGCGCTCTGACTTTAGTCTCTCCTAGAATCTGTAGCTTTCAGGAAACCCGAGTGCCTTATGTAGCTTGTGACACCAACTAGGAGTCAGGAGGGAGGAGGGAAGGTGAGAGGCTTGGACGCGAAGATGGCTGTGTGTTCTAACACAGAGACGGACTTAGGTTTAGGCTCAGGAACTCACCTTGTGAACGTAGTGTCGACACGCATCTGTTTACTTGTGTTTTTTAGAAGCTTTATTGTGTATTTATGCAAAGGAACGGGCTGGGTCTGCGGCGGGCGCGTGCGGGCCGCGCTCCCGCGGGCCGCGGGGTCCTCAGGGCGGTCCCGCCTGAGGCCTGCGTCGACCTCAGAGTTTTACACGTATTTTTGTACCGTGGTTCTCACGCCGCGTTCCGGAGCATTTCTGCTCCTTCGTCGGGCGTTGTACAGTTCTAATAAAGTGGACTCTTGGACACAAGGCTGCCCGTGTGTCACGTGAGCCGTCACTCCGCCGGCGGAGTTCAGTCTGCGCAGCGGCTCTGTCCACGCGCAAGGGCCGAGGCCGCACCCGCCCGGGGAGACCGGGGTCTGCGGGGGCCTCTTCAAACCCGTGCCGCGGGTCCGAGAGCGACACCGCGCACGGCCCCTGCCACCGCGGCTGGCG